GTATCCAAAATGGGAATTTAAGTTACCAACTGGAAGTGGAGTGAGGACTGCCTGTGAAGGGGTAGGAAGGAACTTTGAGGGAGATGGGAATCTTCTGTACCTTGACTGTGGTGAAGGCTGCATGACTGAATACATTTGTCAAAACTCATAGGACTGTATGCTTAAAATTGACAAAACTTACTGCAAGTTACAATATAGTAAAACTGGCTTCAAAAAAGTACAAAATTATAGTATTTACAAAATGTAAACAATGAGTGAAAAAATAGTGAATACTGGATACTCTCTCAATTACCCTGTATCATATATCCTCAAAATGCTATAAAGACAGCAGGCTTAAAAACAGAGAGAGAGAGAGAGAGAGAGAAAATAAAGGGGGTACTTATTTCAATAAATTATAAAAAGAACAAGAAACCAAAATTAATCCGGAAATATCAAAAACTGACATGAATGAAATGGAGAACAAACAAAAATACTAAAAAGCATAAATATAAAGAAGTTCTTTAAAAGGGTTAATAAGGGGGGCACCTGGGTGGCTCAGTGGGTTAAAGCCTCTGCCTCTAGCTCAGGTCATGATCTCAGGGTCCTGGGATTGAGCTCCGAATCATGTTCTCTGCTCAGCAGGGAGCCTGCTTCACCCCCCCAACCCCCCACCCCCGCCTGCTTCTCTGCCTACTTGTGATCTCTCTCTCTGTTAAATAAATGAATAAAAATCTTTAAAAATATTATTAAAAAATAGAAAGGCTAATAAAGTAAACTTCTTATAAGCACAAAGAAAGAGAAAAAAGAGCAAAAATAGACAAGATTAGTTCTGAGAAAGAAAACACGACAGAAGAAAAAACTAAAGATTTAATAAAAGGTGGGATGCATGGGTGGCTCAGTCGGTTAAGTGTCTGCCTTCAGCTCAGGTCATGATCCCAGGGTCCTGGGATGGAGCCTACATTGGGCTCCTTGCTTAGCGGGGAGCCTGCTTCTCCCTCTGTCTGCCGGTCCCTCTGCTAGTGCACGCTTCTCTCTCTCTGACAAATAAAATCTTCCAAAAAAAAAAAAAAAGAAAGAAAGAAAGAAAGAATTATAAAATGGTGCAATCTAAAATTCCACATCAAATAACTGGAAAATTTAGAGGACATAAATACATTTCAGGAAAAAATGTGAATGACCAAAACTGGACCAAGAGAAAGAAGAAAGCTTGAATAGCTCAATCTACCTTTGAAAAAACTAGAATAAGAAGGTGACTATAGAGCTACTTTTGGAAAAGATTGCATTCAAAGGACACCAGAGCTGAGGTTTTTTTTTTTTTAGTCTTTTTTTTTTTAATATATCATTTATTTATTTGACAGACAGAGATCACAAGTAGGCAGAGAGGCAGGCAGAGAGAGAGGGGGGAAGCAGGCTCCCTGCTGAGCAGAGAGCCTGATGTGGGGCTCGATCCCGGGACCCCGGGATCATGACCTGAGCCGAAAGCAGAGCTTTAACCCACTGAGCCACCCAGGCACCCCCAGAGCTGAGTTTTATCTATTCTTTTTTTTTTTTTTAATTCATGGGGCAGGGAGAGAGAAAGAGAGAGATGAGTGGGGGAGGGGCAGAAGAAGGAAAAGCAGACTCTTCACTAGGCATGGAGCCCAAAATGGGGCTCTGGGCTCGATCCCAGAACCCTGAGATCATGACCTGAGTCAAAGTCAGATGCTTAATGGACTGAGCCACCCAGGCACCCAAGTTTTATTTATTCTTCAATAATGATAATTTCCATGCCATTTAATCTAGTCAAAACTATAGGAAAAGAAGAAAAGCTCCCATATTTAATATTTAGAACCAGAATAATATAATTCAATTCCTAATAAAAATTCTAAGTAAAAATGAAAAAGAGGAAAACTGCTGAAATATAATGAAGACTTTCTACTAAAACCTAACAGCAGATATTGTTCTCGATGGTGAAATACTAAAACCACTTCCATCAAAATAAACATTTAGACAGAGGTGCCTGCTATTATGCTTACTTAACATATCTTGGATGATTTAACAAATGCAGGAAGTCCTTAACCACATTTACATTTAAAAAAATTTTTCTTAATAGATTTTATTTATTTGCCAGAGAGAGAGAGTACAAGCAGGCAGAGGAAGAAGCAGGCTTCCCTCTTAGCAAAGAGCCCAACCTGAGACTCGACCCCCTGACCCTGGGATCATGACTTCAGGCGAAGGCAGGTGCTTAACTGTCTGAGCCACCCAGGCCCCCATGATGGCCAGTCTGGAAAAGTGATGTGAAGGTCAGTATTGCAAAGACCACGTGTGATACACATGGGGAAGAAGGATCCCACCCTCACACCCTAGTCCAAAACGAAGGCACTGGAAGGGAAAGCAGAGCATCATAAGGGGATGTGTAGCCACCACCAAAAGGGCTAAGGAGGACAGAGATGCAGGCCCGGCCTTCTTAATGTACCCATGCCATTGTGGAAACGCAGTCTAGCTCATTCCATTGGCATCCCGGGGTCCTTCCTTCTGAAGCCCCCCCAAGGGCCTGTTTAGGCAGCAGACCCATTGATTTTTTTTTTTTTTTTTTTTTTTTTTGAGCATATACTGGAAACTTGGTTTGGCATTTTACCTGGTGTCCAGGCCATGTTCACTTGTGTGTACTGGTTTTGAAAACTAGGACATTGGGGTGCCTGGGTGGCTCAGTGGGTTAAAGCCTCTGCCTTAGGCTCAGGTTATGATAACAGGGTCCTGGGATCTCCCTCAGCAGGGAGACTGCTTCCTCCTCTCTTCCTCCTCTGTCCACTTGTGAACTCTGTCTGTCAAATAAATAAATAAAATCTTAAAAAAAAAAAAAAAGAAAAAGAAAACTAGGGCATTACCTACAGTTTACTGAATTCCTGCAAATGTTCCCGCAACTGATCTACAGAGAAGGGGCCCCTACCCCCAGACACCACACCCAGTCTCCTGACCGCCCGCACCGGCCCCTGCCCCCAGCTGCTCTATATGCTCCCACTCCATCTCACAGGCCCCAGAAGCCCCCAGGGAGCCACCGACTCCCACCACCTTCTGTTATCTGGAGGAAGCCCTGATGGGGGGGGCTGGGGGAGGGGACGGGGTGTTGGAAACTTTAATTAAGCAAGGACGGTTAACAGCTGCAGGGTCACCTTAGGAACAAGTGAGCTTGAGAAAAGAAATATTTCCCTCATCTGTCCCCATGACCTTTTAAGACTTTTCTGCAAATGGCTCCTCATTCCCTGTCATGGTAAAAAAATAGCAGCCATCATAGGCACCCTTCAGCCCACAGAATCCTCTGAGCTTACTCCTTCCAGCAGGCCTTGACACAGATGCTCACTGCACACAGACGCCCCAACAGACCACGAAGACCTGAGGATGCCTGTTCACACATGCACACTCATATGCATCCACACACCAGCCTCTTCTTCAGGTGACAAATGTGCTTTCCTACCTCGGCGGGCACTTTCTCTGGGAGGGCTGCATGGTGCTGTTGGGCAGAGCTGTCAGCAGACCCACAGAGCCGGGTACAACACCTCTCCACACACCACTAGTCATACACTACAGCTGTCAGTGTGCAGTGAGCACCTCTTCCCCCTTTTTTTTTTCCTCCCCACAGGTGCAGCGTGTCAAGAGGTTCTGCGGGGGCAGATGCCACCTACTGCAAGTGGGTTTTTTCCACCCACAGAGCCTGTCTTGTCTCAGCCCCTTTGCACCCGCAGAAGCAAGCCCTTCTAGGGTCATAGCTTGGTAAAATAATGTTGGGCAGCACCTCTGAACCACTACTGCTCAACAACCCTCCCCTCCCAGCCGGTTTCCCTTCCTCCCATCAGCCAGGCCTTCACCACCCATGAGGGCCTCCCAGTCCCTGGTCTTCTCCCACAAACACTCCCTTTTCCCTTGGGGATGGGTGCAAAGGGACAATGTTGAGGCTTTTTAAGGGACAAACTTTAGGAAGGAAAGAAAAAACAAAACAAAACAAAACAAAACAAAAAAACCAAGAAAATATCAAAACCTCAGGTCCAGAGTCTGTGCGCTCAACACCCAGCCCTGCTTTGTTTCCTTGCCTCCCTTCTAAGAAGCCACTGCCCTTCTTCATCCCCACCCAATTCCTTTGTTCACCTGCCCCCCAACCCGACCCCCCATGAGTGTGCACAAGGCTCTCAGTACTGCAGGCTTTTCCAAAGGTGCACAAGCTTGGGATTGTCCCTCATCCTCACCCCCAGCCCTAGCTTATCCGCAAGCCTCTGCCTCCCTGACTCAGTTTGCTGGCTCCAGCCCTGATGCTGCGACATAGGATGCCATGTCCAGCAGGGACAGGATGGGATGAGGAAGGGGCTGATTGTCCAAAGTTGTGATCAGGAGGGAACAAGGGTGGACAAGGCCAGGGAAAGGCTGTGGAGAGGGAATCTAGGGCAGTTTGCAGAAGAGAAATAGTGTGGTCCCAGATCCATCCTCCAAAGCACTGCCACATTCTCAGGAAGGGCTTTGGGGTGAGAACCTCCCTGTGTGTGAGACCCTCAGCAAGTCTGCAGGACTACTGCAGGAGCGGAGCTGGGTCTACCCTGAAAGCCTCCAAACTGACAGGGAAAAGAGCTCCACCAAATCAAAGGCTCCTTACCTGCAGGGAGCCCATACCTGCTGGGAACCCCAGGATGAGGAGCAAAGGCTCCACACTAGGACCCCCCAGTATGATAGAGGATGGAGCTCCACTGTGGGAGATCCTCTGGGTTCAGCTGGGCACAAAAGAGCTCTGACAACACATGGATAAGCACGGGCAGAGAAGAGCATAGGGCAAACCAGAGTAGATGATCAGGAAGACACGCATTTAGAGCCCAGCACAGCCCAAGTGCATCTGGGACGCATGAGGGGGGAGCACAGGCAGGATGAAGGAACAGGCCTGAGAAGTGATCTAGTGACACTTCCAGACTCAACCCCCATGTTCTGGACCTCAGTTTCCCATCCCCTGTCCCTCTAGTAGAGGCTCAGGGATGCAGTCTGCTTCACTGAACCCATTAGTCTGACACTTGCTGACGTCTTCCTCTTTTGTAGCTGGAAGTCACAGGGCAAAGCACTAAGCTGTGCAGTCACAGAAAGAGTCTAAGGGTGTGAAGGGACAGAGGGGAGAGTGTCCAGGGAAGAGTGTCAAGGGTGAAGAAGGAGGAGACAGGTGGGAGCAGAGGTGCTCAGGGCAATGGCTGAGGCCATCACCTATGCTGACCTGCGGTTTGTGAAGGCTCCCCTGAAGAAGAGCGTCTCCAGCCGGTTAGGACAGGGTAAGGGTGGAAGGGGCATCTCCTTGATTTTGCATCCCTAAGCTCCCTCATGGCCCCACCCCCACCTCCACCTTTTCTCTCCTCTTCCAGACCCAGAGACTGATGAGGATGAGGAACTCACCTACGAGAATGTGCAAGTGCCCTCAGTCTCAGGTGGGCCCTTGAGCTTGGCTTCTTCTGGAGTAGGGGACAAAGCAGGTACAGAGACCCCAAAGGATATATGTTTGACGGGGTGGGGTGTGTGTGGGGTGTGTGTGGTGTGTGTGGTGTGTGTGTGTGTTTTGAGCTGGGACTCTACGGTATTCTTGACGGGGGCGGGGGGGGGGGGGAACGGTACACAATATCCCTGGGAAAGGAGGGGATGCTTAGGAAAGAGAAGAATGAGCCCTGGATAAATAGGAGTCAGGTAAGAATAAAGCTCCCAGGGGCAAGGTGGAAGTCCCAGTACGGAGACAAGGGCTCAGCGAGGAGACATGAAGGCAGCCCCCGTGGGGAGACGATTTCGAGTGGGAAATGGGGAGTTACAGGACAGAGAAGAGGGTAGGAGAGAGGGATGAGGGCACTTTTGGGGAGAAGATTTAGGGGTGCTGAATAAAACCTAAAGAGAGACCCAGGAGGGAGACCCGGAAGAGTAGTAAGACCCGGGAGAGACACGAGTCCCGGTGGAGATGCGGGACTCCAGGGAGTGCTAAGGGGGGATCCCAGAGCATCTCAGGAAGTCGCAGAAGGTATCTCGGGCCAGACTGGAGAGAGAGAGGTGGAGGCGGAGAGGGTGGAAAGAAAGGAAATTTCCCGGGTCTTCCCCTCTTGGAAACCGGAGTCTCTGTGGGTCCTCAGGGTTCCAACCCGAGCAGCCAACTGCGTCCTGGGGCTCCGTGACGTCACCCGCTGCCGGGAGGCTCCTCGCGGGTGAGTCCCTCGCCCTCCTTGCGGCGCGCGCCCCCAGCGGCGGGGCTGGTGCTTCAGCGCGCGGGGCGGGGTCTCGGGTTGGGCGGCTCCCCCGACTGCGCCGACCCCTCCCGGCCGCGCGGGCTGTTCACTGAGGGCGAGCTGGCGGGGTCACAAGGACATGGTGCTGGGCCCTGCGTGTGCGTGTCCGGTACCGAGAGTGAGCACGGGGAGCAGTCCTCTGGACTGCGCGGGCAGCCCCGAGATCCCTGCCCTGCCTCTTTGACCCCCATACCCAGATGTATCATTCCCACAGGTTGACCCAGATCCTCCCTCCTTCCCCTTTACGGTGGTCCCATTCACATACCCCCGTCCTCTGTCTCCGTCTGAGATTTAGCTCCCATCCTACCAGGTAGCGCCCCTCAATGCTTACCAGAAACTATCCAGCCCTTATTCTGGAACATCTTCCTTCTGCTACCTGCGGAAATTCACTAACCGACAAACCCCATCATACCTGCACCATATCCTCTGAGGGGTGCTCTTTCCCATGAATATCCCCCACCCACCCAGCCCCTCATTCTCTAAACTTTGCTAGGGCTCTCTGCCCTTCTTCCCACTGTCTCCCTAAGGTCGCACAGCCTGTATGCAGTACCTCTTTCTCGGCCTGCTGCTCACCAGCTTGCTGTTAGGGGTGGCCGCCATCTGCCTGGGAGTACGCTGTGAGTATGGCTGTCCCCCATTTCCCACTTACCCCAAGCCATTTTCTCCCCTACTCTCTACTCTCCCCAACAGCTGCCCTTTCCCTGGGCAGGCCTCAGAGTCACCACCACCATATCCTTAGCTTTTCAACTAGTTTCTAGTCTGGTCTATTTTAGAGTGCTGTGTCTTCCTAATCCAGTACCTCCTAAAGCTTTAGGCAGTGAGCTCTTATATTTCATCCTGTTTTGCAAAAATTTGCAAGAAGCAGAAAAAGGACGGACGCTGAAGTCTCAGGGCGGCAGGGCATGGCTGAAGATGACCTCCAAATCTCTTTATGGCCAAACAGACCTGCAGGTGTCTCAGCAGCTCCAGCAAACGAACAGGCTTCTGGAAACCACTAACAGCAGCCTGCGACAGCAGCTCCACCTAACGATGACCCAGCTGGGGAAGAAGGAGGAGGATCTGCAGGGGTCCAGGAGGGAAGCAGCCCAGAGTCAGGAAGCACTACAGGAGAAACAGAGGGTTTGCCAGGCTACCCAAGAACAGTTACAGGCCTGCCAGTCTGAGATGGAGAAGACAAAGGAGGACTTGCAAAGTAAGGAGGTGCAGAGGATGACCTTGGAGCAGAGGCTGAGCAGCATGCGCGACACACTGAAGCCCTTATTCACGTGCCCCTTAGAAGGTATCCACTCTGGGAGACAAGAGTTGGGAGGGTCTCTGTAAGGGATGGATTGAAGCGAGGAGACACTCCTGGCAGGTGTCTCTCTGTCGGGGGGCCATTGAGTTGTGGAGGAAAGGGATAGTAAATGAGAGTGGTGGCCAACAGAGAGGAGGATCAAGCTGCATTCTGGATTTATGGCGAGTCACCCAGCTCTAAGGCAAATCCTATAGGAGGAAGGAGACAGACAGATGGCAATGCAGAGCACACTGTCCAAAGCACCAAACTTAAGTCTCTGCCCTTAATATCAATGTCACATTATCTGGGAACCCCCTGAACTGGGATGTGGAACTGGTTTTTTGCACTTTTTTCTAAAGAGAGGGTCTATACCTTTAATTATTTCTCACCACATCTGAGATTCCCCAAGTGTTAAGAAATCCTGATTACTGAGGTGCAGCGTGGCGGGTGGGGGGCGAGGCAGCTGAAGCTCTCAAGCGTGGGCAGCACTCACAATGAGGTGGGTTGGGGTAAGGTGGGGGAGAGAGCTGGCGAGAAGAGTTCATCTATTTTGAAGGCAGGAGCCCAGGCAGTATGTGGGGATGAGGGAGGGGGCCACAGAAAAGGGGAGAGGCTGTGCAAGAAGCAGGCTGAGGTTCGGGGTGGGGAACCAGGCCCAAGGCAACCAGAGTGTTCATGGCCTGGTTACCTACGGTCCAGGTTAGGCTCTGTCTAGCTCAGGGGGCATCCAGAGACTCCCCCAAGGCTTAAGATAGTGAGTTGATGTACAGACACCCCCAGCCCTTGTGTCTTTAGCCTTCTCATTCCCTGTGACCCTCAGTCCCAGGCAGTGCTGCCACCCATTCCCTCAGCTGCACCCCAGACCTAAGCAACCTGAACTGTTCTTCTGCTAGAAGGCTGGTTCCAGATCACTCCGACCACAGCTGCCTCCTCCAGTCTTTCCCCACACTTCTTCAATCTCACTGATGCCTCCAACTCACTGTCTCCCCTTTCCTCCCTTTGCCTTGGCTGTCACTTCTCTCTCTACCCTTCTTGGCTTCTGGGGCCCATCACTTCAGCCACTCGCTCTTTTGTTCTGTTGTTCTTCTGGTGTACCAGAGTGGCAAGATCTCAACTCTGGATGAACTGCCCCCTCTGCCCCTTCCGCACCCAGGTGTGCCATATTGTGCCATCATTCTGCTTGGTGCCACCAAAACTCTAGTCTCAACCTCAGCCCAATCCTCGGTACTGCCTGGCAGCAGTACAGAACTCCTTACCCTACCACCCTCTCTCCCACTTTTAGCAGGTGCCCCACTGCATTTTCCACCACTGAGCCTATACATCCCCATTTTTGCTCACCCCCATTTTTGCAAGGATCACTGTGAGAGTTTGCTGAGTCATTTCTCCTAAACATCTCTCTCCCTCTCCCACCCAACCACTTGTCATGTGGAAGCCAGAGTAACTCTTTAAAAACAAAATCTGATCATGTCATTCCAGTTAATTAATTACATCAAAAGTCACTGCATACATACTACATGTCCAAGCACTGTGTCCAAGCACTTGTGATATAGCCAGTGAACAAAACTTCTCTATGTAAAACACTACATTGACTTACTCTTCCCTGTAATATAGAAATTTTTTTAAAAAAAGCCTTAGCCTGGCTTCCGAGGTCTCTGCCTCCCTTTCAGCATGCCACTTAGCCTCTCACCCTCTTCCATTTGGCTACACTGACTTTGTATTCCCTTTAGTTGCCATAGGACAGAAACTCAAGAGGGTACCTGGGTGAGGACATGAGACAATGTAGACAGAAGAGAGGGAGCTGGGGAAGGAAGGAAGGATCTTTGAGTGTCACAGGTAGGATTCCTGGAACAAAGCAAAGAGACAGGTGGGTTGGGATCAGGAGCAGATTGGTGTATGGGCTATGAAAGAAAGAGGGATGTTTATTGCTTAGAGATAGCCAGGAACAGTGGAACAGAGAAGAGAGATTTTGGGGCGCAAGGGAGGGAAACGGAGAGAGTTCACATCAAGTGGCTTGACAATTTCAGCAGAACAGGAACCAAGGTTTTTGCTTGTGGAAGAGTGGAGAGGGAGGGAAGGAGGTGGCTAGCAGCTTGGAGGGTGTGAGCAAGTTTTGAATATGCAGCGAGGAATGCTTTAGGGAGTGATTGAGATGATTATGAGGTTGATTGAACACTTATGGGGGCCCAGGTGAGGTCAGCCAAAGTGTAAGGGGGGAGACTGCAATCATTCAGAAATTGGGAATAGTACCACCACCCTATTAAAATAAACCTCCCAGACTGTTAAGGAGTGCTGTTGTGAATATTAAAGACTTTTACTGAATATGCATATGAATGGCATTACCAGGGGAGGCCAAAGACAGATTGCAAAGGTGAAGGGCTAGAAGCCAGTGAAGGTGCTGGGACTAGACCAAGGGGGGGCACTGTTAGCAACCACACTGAGGAATCATCACTTTTGTCTCAAATGGGGAGATCTCCCTCCTGGGTCTGGGCTATGCTGTTACATTCTTTCTGGTTTATAGATTCCTGCTGTCCCATGGGATGGATACTGAATGAGAGGAGTTGTTTTTACATCTCATACATGGAGAGAAGTTGGGAGGAGAGCCAAAACTACTGTCAATCTCTGTCCTCCGACCTGGCCACGTTCGGTGACATTCCTTATTCTTATTCAGTAAGCATCCCCTTATTTGCAGACTGTAGTGGGTACTGTTGGGCGAAGGGATATGTGTCAGTGAGTCAGGAATGGTGGTGCACACAGGGTACGCGTTCCTTTTCCGGCAGCTTCTCAGCACAGTGCTCCAGGTGGCCCCTACCAACTGGCCGGAGTTGGCACGAGAGTTGAAGCTCATGAACCATCTTTACTTGAACCTGTTTCTCATCTCAGCTTTCTGGTCAACTCTCCAGGGCTGCTTAACAGCATCTTTGTCTCTCATGGCCTCTCAGGCAGAGGTCCCATATCTAGGGGGCTGGATTGTTGGGATTGACTCCTTATGACCACAGCAGTCCATGGAATGACTCCTCTTTCAAAGGCTGGCAGAAATTCTTCACCAGCTGGGGGGTGAACTGAAGGGCGAACTTGCATCTGCAAGGTGGCACTTGAAGGCCACAGGGACAGGTCCCCAAGGAGCTGATGCCTCGTGCCAGTCAGAAACAGACCTCTTGTCAAAGCCGAGACCTCCCCATAGTGCTCATTTTCTTTCATTGGCCCACATTCCCCCCTCCCTACACCGCACCCCCGCCCCGGCCTCTCGCACTGGAATATTTCTCATCACTCTCCACATACCTCTCCTCTGATTCTCCCCTCAGGTTACAAACCACAACAGCGCAAGGAAGATGTTGATGCAAATTAGCCCACCTGGCTCATTTTGGGTTAATCACAGCTTTGCTAAGAGGTGGCAGCAGGTTGATGGCAAACGAGGCCCTGGGTAAGTCTGTTAGGACTTCTGGGAATACTCAACCCCGTAGCTCCTTCATATAGACATAGTAATGAGATTCTTCTCCTGCTCCCAAAGTTTTGGGAGGTCCTGCTCCCAAAATTCTTTCACAAGTCAGTATTGTAATTGCCTACTTGTCTGTTTCCTTTACTTAAAACTCTTTAGGACAGCCTTCTTCTCTGGCGCCTTTCCAGTACCTGGCAGTCCCAAGCACTTTTTTTTTTTTTTAAGTTACTAGGTTGGGACCTATGTTGTTTTTCTCTCAGAGGGAGAAGCTGAGGCTTTAGCTAGGACTTCACAGCTCATGAACCCCGGCATTCAACTTCCCATCCCTTGACAGGGCTACCCAAACTGAGATGGCACTTTCTCAGTCAGGGCCTCTTGGGGGCACTATAGTTACCTCCAGGAAGGGAGCAATGGGGCAACTTTGAAAATCAACTCCAGGAACCCTGAAACAGGCAGTCATCTCCTATGTTCCCCATGGAGTTTCCATCTTTAATATTTTGGGTGACTTTTTTCTTCCTCTGGTTCTAAAGCCTCTTTGAGTTAGAGTAGCCATCTGTCCCTGAACCATACCCAAACATGGCCTTAGGCAGGCAGGGCAAATTAGGACTTCATTGTGTTTAACTTAGGGCAAGGGGAGAAAGGGGAGCGAAGGCAGGGTGGGAGAGGAGAGGCAGGCCTTGTCCCAGTTCTACCTCACCAATCTTTAGGTATTATAGTCAAAGCTCAAGATGTTATAAGGTACAAAGCAGTTGGCCAAGAACACAGCAGCATGACTGTACTTCTCTCCTTCCCTGCATCTGTGAGATGACAGCTTTCAAGCACCCGGATAGGGACCACTTTTTGCCCTGAGTTGGGTAAGCATGACCACCCAATGAGGCATGGGAGTTGGGGAGCAGGGAGGGAGAGGAACTTAGAGCAGGGGCTCGGAAGCCAGAGGTAAAACTTATTCCTGAGAGCGATGGTCACCTCTACAGCCTTCAGGGTCTTGGTCTGCTTATGAAGGAGGGTGTTCAGCAGGAAAGTTCTGGAACTGAAGGGAGGCTGTGGGTTTGGCTGTCCAGGGAGGTAGGAGGAGCTGGATGAATATTCTTAGCAATAGTCTACTGTGGACCTCACTGGTGCTTTACTCTTACAGGCACTCATGCCAACAGAAGCCCGCGCCCCTCACCCTAACTGCAGTTTGCAGGCCCTAAGATCATCTCCCTCTAGCGTTCCCTCACTCTGCCTGTGCAGTGCCTAGCCAAGGGCGGATCCATGCCCAATACTTCCAGCCAGCCTGTTGCCTGCTTGAAATCCTGCCCCAGAAGCTGGACTGTTCCTGGGAAACTGGTGAAGAAGTCACTAGAAGAGATTTTGGCCTCCCCAAGAACTTCCCATAGTGGCACTGTAGGGGGGTGGAGGAGGGCGCATGGGCTGAGTGGATAGGGGCAGCCCGGAGCCAGCCAGGCAGTTTTATTGAAATATTTTTAAATAATTTGCACGTGTTAGTCTCATGTGTCAGCAGTGCTTTGTCTGGTTCAGTGATCGCCCATGGGAGAGCAGGCCCAGGGGCTAGACAGGAAATGTTCTGTCCCTTGAGTCCATGCTGAGGTTCCCCTACATGGGGAGAAGAGCTGGTCAGCCCTGCTGGGGCTGGCACTGTCCAACATGTGTGCTCTGTCCTCACAGGGCATCCTGAAGGCCAAAGTTGGAGGCCAGAGACCACAGGCCCCACTGCTAAGAGCGCGCCCCGGGCAGCTGCAGGCCGGGTGTGGGAGGCTTGGCATGGTGCCCTCGGTGGCAGAGGAGACTGCCCGCCTCACAGTTCAGGTTGCGGTAGCGGGCAACAGCTGGTGTGGGGCGGGGGCACATGGATAGGAAGCCAAAGCTGAAAGGGCCAAGACAGCAGCCAGGGCAGGGCAGCCCCTCATCAGACTCCCGGGGAGCTGAAGGGGGCGGCGAGGGTTCTGTCCGCTCCAGGGCTGCCGCCCGGGGCAGACTATGCTGGGCCCGGTTCCACGGCTCCCCAGCCCAGCCTTGTGGGGAGTTCACCACCACAGCTGGGGGGTTGTTGTTAAGGGCAGTCCCTGATCTAGGGGACCAAGGCTGGGAGGCCGAGGAACAAGTGCTGATGAAGTTGTCTGTGGCCACGGCCAGGGGCAGCTGGGGAGCTGGTCCTGGGGGTTCTGGCTCAGGGCTACTGCCCTCACACTCCATTCTTTCTTCAGCCGAGGGGCCCATACTGGGAGGGCCAGGACCTGGCAGTGCTGTCTCCATACGTCGGGGGAGCTCAGGGGATGATGGGAGCGAACGGCAGCGACGGGCAGGTGTCCCAGGCTGGATGAGGGTCTCTGGAGTGGTTACCAAGGGCAGCTGCGAGGAGGGCAGTGGTGATGGTGGAACAAGGGGCAGGGGGGTAACTGGCTTACTGGGTGTGTCCAACAGCTTGATCTTGCCTCCCCGGAGGTCTTCCCGGAGTGAGAAGGGATTGACTCGAGTCAGACTGTCCCCCCAGTTGGGGGGTGAGTCTGGTGTTGGGGGCAGGAAGAGGTCTGACCGGCTTCGGGAAAGCCGGGGGTCTGGCCTAGGAAGGGTGGCAGAGGGACCCCCTCTTGAAACAGACCCTGTAGACAGAGAAGTCTGTGGTTACTGTTCTCAGCGTTGATCATGGCTCCTTGAGGCCTCATTATTCACCAGGAGGCTGGTGGGACTACAGCTTACAAAAAGGAGTCCCACTGGGTATTTTAGACAGGGGGAGATGTCACCTCTAGCCCTCCTTCACCTCTCCTTTCCTTCTTCCCCTCTCTTGGTTCTAGAATTTGAAAATATTTAAGATGTCCTTTCACACCCCCCGCCCCAACCTTTTCAACTAATAAGTACATTTAGTCTTAATCCCTTGAGTTCTAAGGAAGAGGCAAAAAGAGTTTAGTTGCATCAAGGTCATGCTCACTTACTCTGATTGTGTGTCAGGGAAGCTCTGGTGAGGGGGGCTGGCTCAGGCAGCTGCTCCAGGATCCATTCTAGATGCTGGGTGATTTCAGTGAAGGGAGCACGAGTGCTAGGTTCCATCTGAAGGGTAGAGACAGGGATAGCTTCACTGAGAGTCCCTACATTTTCTTCCCACCACCTGGAGCAGGAAAGCCTTGCAGCTGATAGATGGGGGTGGTGGGCAGGGAGAGAGAGGCTCTTACACTGCAGCAGTGGATGGCCAGGAGCAGGAAGGGCAGTGGGCAGTCATCCCCTACCAGGGTCCGGAAAGCAGGCACATCCAGGCCAAAGTCCTGCAGGGACAGAGAGAAGGGGCCTTCAAGTCAGCCTTCCTTGGGTTCTCCTTCTGACCCCCAATCAGGACCTTAACCTCCAGGGAACCCTCCTCAGTTATAAGCTGCCCGTCTGGAGCTCCCCCTTTTCGAAACTGGAGACATTATTCACCTCAGTTCGGGGTAGGTAATCTGGGTCCGCAGGTACTCGTGCAATGAGCTCACAGAGGACAATACCAAATGCAAAGACATCGGCCTGGGGGGAGGAGAGAATGTCAACGGGAGGAACTGATCGTTTTCATATCAGAATTTTTTCAGAATATGTCAGAATTTGGGGGAAGTCATGATAGTTTCATGCAGTGGAGGGGTCCCTATGAGGGGGCAAGGGAGAATTTGGGGGTCTCCTAAATATTCAATATGGCTATTGAAGAACTTGGGATGGGGCCTTATGAAAGTATCTCAAGGGTCTCTGGAAGGCCTTGGAATCTGAAGGACTGATGTCTTACCTTCTCATCATACAGCTCACCCCGCAACACCTCTGGAGCCATCCAGTATGGGGAACCTACCACAGCCAATGGCTCCTTTCTTGCCCCTTCCCTGCAGGGGTAGGGGCAGAGTGATCAGAGACATCCCACTCAGATAACCCCCCTAAACAAAAGGGGATGAGGTCAGCCCCCTCCCCACTCCAAAGGATATGTCTCTGGGGGCTTCATTTAGATAGGGACCTTCTAGAAAGTTTGGGGGGGTACAAGGGCATTCACCTCACCTATACACAGGAATCTTTTCAGCCAGCCCGAAGTCACCCACAACAGCCGTGAAGCCTCGGTCTTCCCGTCGGATCAGACAGTTCTGACATACATACAGCATCCCCACACACCCATCACCTTCTGTTTTCTGTTGTCCCAATATATACCCCAAAGCCCTGTCACTCCAGAGTAACTCCAACCCCCTCTGACCTCTCAGTTCTCCAGTGTACCCCAATCTTTCAACATCATCACTCCAAACATAGCATGGTACTCGGCCCCTCAGAGCTCCCCATCATCCCAGTCCCCATTCTCCAGGGCCTTGCTACTCTGGACGTCCTAACAGGTCTACTATCCACACTCCAATCCACACTCGAATCCCCTTTCATGCCTCCACCCACCTGGCCAGCCTACCTTGGATGTTAGGTCTCGGTGGAATACACCTTTGGCATGCAGGTACCGCAGGCCACGGGCAATGTCCAGAGCCAGGCGGAGCCTGACTGGCCAGGACAGGGGTTCTGGGGAGCTGAGCAGCTGTTCCAGGGTCCCCCCATTCATATACTGCGGTATAGGGGGAGAAGGGGAATCAACATCAAGGTTTCCGCCTGTACTCTACGTCTCCCACTTATAGGACAGGGGACACTAAGGAGGATCACAAAGGTCAGAAGGGGGAGTCTGTGCTCTAGAGTCTCCCACTCATGTTCTAGGGCTGTCCTTCCAAGACATGTGCAACTATTTAAATTATTAAGTTTAAATAAAATTAAACATTTAGCTCCTCAGTCATATTTCTACTGGTCATATTTCTACTGCTCCCTAGCCACATGTAGCTGCAGAACATTTTCATCACTGCAGAAAGTTCTACTGGACAGCACTTGTTATAGCGCATATAGAGAATGTGACCAATGGAGGAATTTTATTTGTGGTTAGCCCAAAGGGAAGTTCAGGGAAGCCTCTCATGGGAGGGGGTCCTGCTGCCTTTCATTTCTTTCCTGCTGCCTATTCCTCAGCAAATGCACCAGGCGTTGACACTCTCTCCCCTTGGTGGTGGTGGGGGTCCCCTCCTTCCTGGCCCATCCTCACCTCTGTAAGGGCGTGCAGCTGCCCCTGGTGCACACAGACCCCCATGAACCTGGAAGAGGATGAAGAAGATAGGAGGGTAAGCTCCTCTATCGGAGGCTCCTCTATCGTAGGCTACTCTAATAAGAGTCCAGGCCCCTCTGCAGTTCCCACTTTTCCCGCGGGATCTTTCCTTTTCTCCCAGCAAGCTTCTCAGCAAGCGGCTGGGGCCCGCTCACCTTAGGATGTTGGGGTGTCGGAGCCGGTTCATCAGCTGCACCTCCCGTAGCGTGTTTCCCCGGTTACTGGGGAGTTTGTTCATTTTCAGCACCATGACTTGCCCTGACTGTCGGTGCCTAACCTGGGGGCGGCATAGGCTGGCGAGTCCCGGGCAGATCAGCCAGGTCGCGCGGGTCGTTCGGGTCTGGGCCCATTAGCTCCAGCCTCGCGTCTAAGGCTCGGTCCCGCCCCTCTGCCCTCTCTGCTGATCCTACCTTGTAGACCTCAGAGAAGAAGCCGGCCCCGATCTTCTCCGCGCAGTGGAAATCGTCCACGCGCGCCAGGCTGGAGACGGCGCTGCGGAGAGCCCGGTAGGAGGAGGGGCGGCCCCGGCCCGGGCCTCCACCCGTACTCCCCGGGCCCGGGGGCCCCTCCCCCGGCGCTTCTCCCGGCCCTGGCCCAGGGCCCCGCAGTGGGGGCCGTTCCCCGGCCATGGCCGGGCCCCCAGCCCGGGCCTGCCTCACATGGCAGGGTCCCCGGGGCCCGGGCAGGCCGCGCTTGCCATGGGCGTGCGCCGAGCCCGATCCGGGACGCCGGAGCTCCCGCTTTCGCCCTGGAGAATGGAAGATCCGCGGCAGATCTTGGGCCCGCCCCCGCCGCGCCGGTTTGCAGGGCCCGGGTAGACGCCGCTCCGCTTCGCTCTGCGCAGGGCCTGGGCCTGGGCCGGGCGGTGGCGGTGGCTCTCCTGGGCGCCGGCGGGCAGGCGGGCGGGCTCCCCGCAGGCGGAGGCGGGCTGGCGGGCGGGCGGGCAGGCGGGCTGGCGACCGCTGCTCCGCTTCGCCGCTGGGGCTCAGGCTCCGCGGCCTGCCGGGGGCGGGGCTGAGCCGGGCCTCCACTTAACTCCTTCCAGCCCGGGCCACGGGCAGCGGCCACGCCCCCTCAGGTACGCAACCCCCAACCGGTGGCCGCGACACCCGAGGCGAGTGGGTCCGCGACGTCGGGGCCAAATAAGTTCAGGCCCGAGCTGAATAACTGAAGGAAATTATGGGCTGATTGTGCGTACGCGCAGCTCAAACGTCTTTTAGCTGCCCTGGGAGTCCTTTCTCTCCTCCCACCCTCAGGCCACTGTCTGAGGAAAGCCGGGCTCAGGAAGCCGCCGGATTCCTGGACTCCGACGGCCAGCAGGGCAGAAAGGTAGACCCTTCACGGCCAGCCACAATCAGAGGTAGCCCAGCAACCTGCCTACCTGCCCGGCCTCCGCTCTGGCCCAGCCTGCCCATTTCCCAGGTCTCGACCACTACACCTCTGGATTCCCTGACACTTTCCCCTTCTCGGGCGGTCGGTGATGCCTCAGGCCTATATAGTGAGCCCGCGGCCCGCCCGTCCCTGGTGTGACCCCACACCTCCTTACTCCATCCCGCCTCCCTCGAATAAAGTTCAAAGGAAGAAAGGTGTATCCGCCCGGTGACCACCCAGCCTGAACCTTCCTCTTACTCTTTCCTCCAAACTGCCCTATCTCTCTGCAGAGAAGCCTCCACCTGCCCGGAAGCCCCGCCTTCCGTGGGATTCCGCCCCCTCGGCAAAAACCCGCCCCTCCGGGAGACTTCCCTTCGGAGACCCCTCGCCTCCTTAGTGAGACCCTCCCTTCAGAGGGACCATTCCTCAATACGATACTGCCACCGTCAGTGTGTGCCAGAACCCTTCAGTACGACACCCTTCTTCTGTCTGTTCCTCCCACACAATGAGACCCCACCTCTCAGAGTGACTCCACGGGTCATTGTGACCCCGCCTTTCAACGTGACTCCTCCCCTCAGTGTGGCCCAGCCCTTATCTGTGTGACCCCTCTCAGGAGGTTCCGCTCTCCACCTCGTAGGAATCCGGTCTGCCCCCTCAGGCTGGAGGAGGAGCTGCAGCTGGTCTCTTTTAAGGGGGCTCTGGGCCCTGAATGCGCACGCGCTGCGCATAGCCGTCCCCAATGCTTCCGGTTCTCGGCTGGCGAAATAGCCAATTATCGCCAGGGATGAGTGACGTCTCTCGATCTGACGGACGCCTCCCGGGCAAGCTATTGTGGGCGGCACTGAGCAGCTCGCCACCTAGCGGCGGAATGGAGGGCGGCGGGAGTGGGCGCTGCAAGTCTCCGGAGCCAAACGCGCTGGGACAGAGCTTGAGGGAGCAAGGCTGAATTCTTATCAAAAATTCTCACTCAAGGCTGAATTCTTTTAAAAAATTCTCAAGTACTGCATTTCTATTTTTGTGGTAAGATGTAAAGGAAATTTATACAAGCCCAGTCCGCATCCGTATGGGTGCTCGCCTTCTGACAAGAATCCTGTTTATGAGAGTTGGAGCCGAGTTCTATTTAACTGTCCAATTTTTTTTTAAAGATTTTATTTATTTTACCTGACAGACAGAGTTTACAAGTAGGCAGAGAGGCAGGCAGAGAGAGGAGGAAGCAGGCTCCCTGCTGAGCAGAGAGTCTGATGCAGGGCTCGATCCCAGGACTCTGGGATCATGACGTGAGCCGAAGGCAGAGGCTTTAACCCACTGAGCCACCCAGGTGCCCCTAATTGTCCAATTTTATTGAGTAGAGAAAAAACAGTCTTAGATTACAAACGGTGCCTCAGGGTGGAGAGAAGGCTAGAGGCTGTGTCCATGCACTGTGCAACTGAAGGTTTCTCACAGGTTTGGAGAGAGAATGGGTGAGATTCAAGGTCGTTCTAGAGCCCGTGGAGCCAGGCCAGTCTTGAGAACAACATATGCCTGGGCTTTGTGCCTCATACTCATTCTCCCAGAGACCGTTCGGTCTCAGCAAAACAAACTCATTCATTACCTTAACGTTAACATCCACAACTACTTAATTTGTAAGTTTGGTTTCTATAGCTGTTTGAGATCTATAAACACTAGCACTTTATGCTTCATTTTGTTAAAATAGTATTATAATAGATAATTTAATTCACATATATCTGATCCTTTATCTAAGTTTGAAAGTTATTGTTGGTGGTAATAACTCCAAGCAGAGGAGCCAGGATCCTGTTCTAGAAAGATCACTGTGGTTGTTGTATGGAAGCAACGAGTCTTGCCAATGCTTGAGTCAGGAGAGGATGAGACACTGAACTAGGATAGGGATAATAGGGAAGGAGAGGAGGAAACATTCAACTAATATGGGAAAACTTGCTGACTGATTTAGTATCCAGAGTTAGTTAGTTCAGTGGAGAGAAGGAGCATCAGCCAGTACAATTTTTTTAATAGATTTTAATTTTTTATTTGAGAGAGAGAGAATACAGTTAGGGATGGGCAGAGGGGGTGGGGGAAGCCTGATGTAGGGGCTCGAGCCCAGTGACCTGAGAGGAAGGCAGATGCTTAACCAACTGAGCCAGCCAGGTAGGCACCCTGGCCAAGATCATTTTTATGTTTATAGCTTAGATGACTGTATGATGTCAACTGGGATAAAGAACCCAGAAGGAGGAAAGGTTGGGTGGAGGAAGACAGATGACTGCCATAAGGAAAGGGGTGATGATAAAGGAAACTTTGAAGGTAGATGCCATCATCCAAGTAGGGTGTATAGAGGAGAAATGGGCTGGCAAGAATCCTGGGGAACACCAACATTAAAAGGGAGGGTGGGTGGCTCAGTCGATTGGGTGTCTGTTTTCAGCTGAGGTCATGATCCCAGGGTCCTGGTATCAAACCCTGTATCAGGCTTAACAGGGAGTCTTTTTTCCCCCTCTCCCTCTGCCCCTCAGCCTACTCTCTCAAATAAACTATATATATATGTATGTATATATATACATACATATATATATTTTTTTAAATGGTGGATAGATGAAGAGAATTTCATGAAGGAGACTGAGCAGAAACAAGGTGAAAGACAGGAAGAGAATCTAGAGAGGCTTGTGCCATGGAATCCAAGGAATGGGGAATTTAGGGAAAGTGGAATAATGAATAGCATTAAATGTATTGAATAGTATTAAATGTAGAGGGGGTCTGCTAAGATAAATTTTAAGTATTGCTCAAGTTAGGCTATTAGAAGATCCTTTTGTTTTTGTTTTTCAGACTTTTTTGATGGGAAAATGTCAAACATGAAAAGAAGAACAAGTTGAGAATAGAACAATGAACCCTTGTTTACCTCTGTAAGACCATTTGTGGAGAGCCTCGCACTAAATCACTTACGCCTGCGTGGCTCAGTGGGTTAAAACCTCTACCTTCAGCTCAGGACACAATCCCAGAGTTCTGGGATCAAGTCCTGCATTGGGCTCTCTGCTCAGCAGGGAGCCTGCTTCCCTTCCTCTCTCTCTTGCCTGCCTCTCTGCCTACTTGTGATCTCTGTCTGTCAAATGAATAAATAAAATCTTAAAAAAAATAAATCACTTACCCCTGCCTCGGTTGTGTTGTTGACATAAATGATCTGGCTGAGGTGAAAGTACCTGCTTTTATGTACCTTTTGTGCCAGTGATTCTCCAATGATCAATTCTTGGCCAATCTTGTTTCATATATACTCTGTACCCCTGTGCTCTCCCCTCACCTAATTATTTGGTGTATATTTCTGATACAGCATTTCATCAATAAATATTTCAATATGTTACCTCTAAAAGATAAGGATTCTTCTTTAAAACAAAATCACAGTACCATGTTACATCTAAAACCCCCAACTCCTTAATATCAAATATCTATTTGCTCACATTTCCCCCACTGTCTTATGTTTAGTTTAAAAAAATTGTTTGAATCAAAATCCAAATAAGGTCTATACTTCACAGCTGATATATCTCTTAAATCTTTTCATTTTTATTTTTTAAAAGATTTCATTTATTTATTTGTTAGAGAGAAAGGACAAGCGGGGGAGCCGCAGGCAGAGGGAGAAACAGGCTGCCTGCTGAGCAAGGAGCCCAATATGGAGGCTTGATCTCTGGACCCTGGGATCATGACCTGCCAAAGTCAGCCACTTAACCAACTGAGCCACCCAGGTGCCCTGGGGGCAGATAATCCTTGATTGTTAGGTGGCTGTCTGTGCACTGTAGGATGTTTAGCGGGATCCCTGGCCTCTACCCACTGGATGCCAGTAGCAGCTCCCCTAGTCGTGACATCAAAAATGTCTCTAGACATTGCCACTTTTCCCCTGGGGGAATGTAAGAGTTAGAAAACAATACTCATTCTATTCTTCCTTCCTTCCTCTACAAAGAGAAACTTTTCTATACCTGTTTGTTACGCAGGGATATATTTCATGTAGGAAAGGCAAGAAAAATGCTTGTTTCCTTTTTATTTTCCCAGCTTTTAGTGAGTTGGTTCCCTTGCATCCTCGAAAAGTAAGTTTGTTTTTTTTTTTAATGTCAGAGTTTTTATTTTTTTATTTAGAGAAAGCGTATGAGCAGACGGGGGCATAGGGAGGGGGAGAGAGAATCTTAAGCAGGCTCCATGCTCAGTGTGGAGCCTCATGTGGGGCTCAATCTCATGTCCCTGAGATCAGGACCTGAGCCGAAATCAAGAGTTGGATGCTTGACTGACTGAGCCACTCAGGCACTCTGAGGGTTTTTTTTTTTTTAATACCCCTCTGTGGTTTTTAGTACCACTGTGAACTCATAGTTTAACATAAGTATGATGTGTCTCAATTGTTGGCTGTTTTTATCATTTTTAAATTGTCCCATTTTGGCCAGTGGAGTGAGTCCTTTTGACACAACCCTTAAGGTTTCTTCCTATTTGATATGGTAAAATGTTCCAGGCTCATTTTGTGCCCTCCTAGACTAGAGCTGGTATCAGCTATTTTTCCCAAGG